TCTTCTTCCGTAATGTCTTCTTGGTTAATGTAGGCTATAAAAACTTGATATTTTGTAGCATTACGAAAGAACGGACGAAAATTTAAATTCATAAATGTACCATTGATGCATACACACAGACGCGCGCGCGCGCACGCACACACGCACACACATGAAACTTCGATTTTTATGCACCTTTATAATATAAAAATGCACGCGCGGACATATGTGTGTGGGAATAGGGGTAGGGGTGGGAGTAGGGGTGGGAGTGAGGGTGGGGGTGGCGAGAGTGGTTAGCATATTGTTATCTAAAATCTCTCGATTTATTACAGAAACTTGCTTTTTTGAGGCATTAACAAAATAAAACTTTAAACGGCTATAACAAAAAAACTAGTCATGATCAAGCTTTGTGCCTATGGACACTTTTGATCAGTGGGTCAAGAACTATAACATACTAAAATTTCAGCCAATTTAACCAAGGGTCAAAATCCTATGATTTTGTGCGGGGTCCTTTATATCTCGCGATGTTTACAAAAAATTGTAAAAAATCTGTTTGTAATTAAGAAGACTACATCACGAGATTTGTAAAAAAAAATTTCTATTAGGTATATTATTATTGATGATAGTCAAAAATAGTGACCGAAGCGTTTAATTTCATGGTTTAATGTAATTGAATAAATTAACTTTCGCACACACAAACACACACACACACACACACAAATATTATCTGGCGTTGTGGCTGTATGCTCTCTTTTGATTGTGTTTATAATTTCAAGCCACTTTTTTAGTTTTATTTTAAAAATATTAAGGTAGTGATATGACAAAAAACCAATAGTTTACGAGATATTTTATACTTTATTCTGGCATATATTGACATAAGATATTAAATAATTCATAAACTATTAACTTTTTGATAATCGTACTTTAATACTTTTATGAACAGAATAATGAGATGAATCAGTTGGTGTAAAGAAAATACATCGATGCTTTAAAAAAATATGTATGCAAAATGGATAATTTTCTAAATAAGCAACAATGTGATTTTCTTTCCACCACCTGATTTATCTCATTATTCTGTTCATAAAAGTATTAAAGTACGATTATCAAAAAGTTAATACACAGAAAAAAAACTAAATTTTTAGGTAAATATTTTTTTAAATAGTTCCAAGTAAATATTTATTAAATGTAAACATATATTTATTTGATACAAGAACCATTAATTTGATTTAAGTATCATAAAATTTTATTGAGCAAATATTTATTTATTTTAAATAAATGTTTACTTGGCACTATTCAAGAAATATTTACTCAGATTTAGCTAATTTTTTTTCATTGTGGTTTACGAGTTATTTAATATTTTATGTCAATATGTGCCAGAATAAAGTGTAAAATATCTCGTAAACTATTGGTTTTTTGAACTACCTTAATACTTTTACATGCAGAATAATTAGAGGAATCATATTGTGTAAAAAAATCATACAATTTCATTTAAAAAGGTGGAAGTGCCCTTTGTATCTTTTTTACGCCTCCACCTAGGAAAAAACAACATGACCAAAATACGTTCCCCTTGGAACGGTTACACTTTCGTTTGAATCAGGTGGTGAAAAGAAAATCATTGTTGCTTATTTAGAAAATTATTTATTTTGCATACATATTTTTTTAAAGCAACGATGTGTTTTCTTTACATCAACTGATTCATCTCATTATTCTGTTCATAAAAGTATTAAAGTACGATTTAAATGGACCACTCTTATACTATATATATATATGTAGATCTTCCTAGTATTCTTATATTTCATGATCCAACTTGTGTTAGATGTAAATAAACCACTAATTTTGAAATCTATTGTTTATTAGAAACAAAATGAGTTTCTTTGCAGAGCGTTTAAACCTATTTTGTTATTTTTGGAAGGTTTCCCAAGCTTTCCTGAATAAATAAGCATTTTTTCATGAATGTACGAACTTCCAAAATAACAACTGCATAGATTTAAAGGTGTCTATTCAGGGCCAATTTTGGCCATTTTTACATTCCCTCCTTTTAATTTACAAAAATATTTGGGAAAGATATTGTTAAGTAATTCTTTCCACTTTATCATTCGTTACACGAAGAGAATATTTAATGTGGCAATGAAATATTTTACGTAGGAACTTTAAACTGACAATTTGTGTCCTACAAAATGGTCCGTTGTAATATTTTATCGAGAAAATATTGGATCCAGTCAGGGATTTAAAATATTTCAGTGGTCCTGTTCTCTAAAGATAAGATTCTCGTTTTTCAAGGTCACGACGACATATCCACGCAGTGACAAAGTGAACATTTGCAATTTTCCAAAAGATTATGTCAAATTTTTATAGAAGTTAATTTAACAAAGTTAAATGTTACTATAATATATGCTTTTCTGTCTGTTTTTTCGTTCTTCTCTCTTTTCAATATTATCCGCGGTAAAACTGCATTAGGGATGACTTCGCTGATTTGGATAATCTTGACATATGTTGTCAAAATTATTTCTCTGATAATCAAAAGATTGTATATCATTTGTTATATATTAAAAAATTATTAACAAATAAAGTTGACAATATAAAGATGTGTGTAATTCTATCTTAAATTTAACCCATTACGAATTTTATGTAAATACCACATTATGTGCAAAATTACATGTTTAAAGAAATAGTTGGAGGAGAAGAAGTAGAGCCCTACACTTCCACAAAAAAATGTGACTAAAACAAAATTTTGTAGAGTGAATCTCGCTTCGTCTGTTGGAAATCCATGTAGAATCGTACAAGGATTTAGAAGGTCCACTTCATATTGCCTTCTGCTTACAGTGCGAAACGAGATTGTAATTGTACGATTCCACATAGATTTCCAATTTCCCAAGCAAGATCCACTTCACTGAATTTGATTTGAGTTAGATTTTTTCGGGAAAGGAGTACAGTATATGACAGAATATATTACACCTTCATTATACTCTCCTCCGCTCAAGTATTTCTTTATATACGCAAATATGCGCATAATGTGCTATATTTATGCTATGTAAAAATTCAAATAGAATTAAACACATTTTTATCTTTAGAGAAAGTAATTAAGTTTCATTGTTAATAATTTTTTAATAAACAATAAACGACTAAAACTTCATGATTGTTACTCAGGCGATGATTTTGACAATATGCGAAGATCATTTAAATCGGTGAAGTTATCCTTAATGTGAGGTTTTACCTTACCTTTTTATGCTACCTACTCTTTACATCACGATAAAAAAAATTGTATAATTACGGATACTTTATTTGAAAAAAACACATTAAAATTTTGAAATCTATTTCAAGATGTAGAAAGAGATAATTACATAATTAAATTTCTGAGAATATCTATGAGATAATGTTATTTTATTTCTTTATTAGATTTTACCTGAATAGGTCGCGCGCCAAGAGAAAATCGAAGGGTGTCTTCGACATCTCGTCAGAACGGGACCTTCTCCGAGCAAACACATTTCCGGAATGTTGTATAACGCAAAAGTAAAGGAAAGATGGTGCGGAGAAGGAATAGTGTATGCAGACGCGAGCCTATATCAAAAGTTCGCTTCCGTTGGGGCTCGCGAAAAAGGAGACGATGACATAGCTGCGTTAGGTAAGTTGACTCAGGACGAAATTGGTTTCGACGCGTGTCGGCGAATGTCGAACTTTCATCGTGATACCTTCACTTAGATAGACATCACTGTACTTTTGCAGTCATGAAAGGAAAAACTGCAGAAATTCTTCAAAGAAGTAGACGCAGAAAAAACATTTGTGCTTGCAAATTTAAAATAACTCGAAATTTTTGTTTTACTCTTGTATTAGAATTATTTTTTACATCGTGTAACATATTATAATGAGAATGATATAATATTATGTCCATTATTTGAATTTTTGTATTACTTTTGAGAAAAGACATTATATTATTTTAACTTCATAACAGAAAACTATTTCTAACAATAAGAAAAATAAATTTAGCACAAAAACAGATATATGTTTAGCATAGTTTAATTCTCTCATGACAAACGTCAGCCAAATTCTACGAGATGATTAAATGAGCACTTGATAGATAATTTATTAAAAAAATAATATGTGTTATAAATTATTTAATATATAAGTTCGCTGTAGTATGAATCTTATAAAAATATATTTATTTCAATATTTAATCTATCGATATATTAAAATAAAACAGAATATTATCTTTTTGACGCTTTTAAAGAACACGTCAATAAGTCTTTTTCATTTTTTATTTTAATCTTTGTTTTTATTCATAGAAACGCTGGTTTATGAGATTTATTTGGATTGTGTAAAAAAATGGACTATTTCTAATCTGATTGTTAAACTATTTGTTCGACTATTTTTGTATGTCACTTTTAAAAGATATACAATATAATTTGATATAAGATTTGGTTATTATTTCAACGTAAGTATATCGCTGAAACACGTAATTGAGAAATATGCAAATATAAAAACATAATTGAAAGTAGTACTCACGATATCGAAGTCCAGATTCTCGGCAATCCAGTCGCGTCCTTGCTTAAATTCATCGTGGAGACCCATGATATAAAGAGTGTCAAGTCCATCGACAATAGTCGCGCCCATATTAGAAGCCCCGAAAATACTGGCACTATGACCTCTCTTCGAGATCGGTCTTAACTCGTTTTTCCCCCATGCATACCGTACGTAGTTGTCCCAGCCATGTTTCATCATCTGCGTTAGAAAAGTGCAAGAAATTAATACAAACTTTTTATTTTAAAAATAAAAATGTCTACTGTTTTACGATTTACATAAAATAATATCAATTATACATATAATTGTTTAGGCGAGAGTTGCCGAATGTGTATCACTTAAAATATTCTTTATTATATTTTCCATTTGGTATTGATTTGTACGCAAATAAACATTGAAAATTATAGTTTGATGTTTTAAGCCTTTATTACATATTTAACTTTTTACCAATAACAAATTAATTTGATATAAGTTTTGTTGTAAAATACAAAAGGTACGATTTTTCGCCTAAATTGTACTTCCTTTAAAGGATCGAATTTATGAATAAAAATAATTAATAAAAATATTAGGCGTATGTAGAAGTCTTTCCTTTTTAATTTTAATTTACATGTAATATAAGTATTTTTCTTCTATTTTTTGGTCAAGTCATTTAATTGACGACAATAACGTTTGACATTAACAGGTTCATCCGATTTAAGGGACTGTTAATGGAACACATCTTTTATATCTTATCAGATACACAAAAAGTCCCTCACGTAAAAATTATTCTTTAAAAATCAGTATTTTCATATATTGTGAGATATAGTACTCTCGTCAAGAATAAAAAAACTTTACTTTTATGAAAGTATAAAAAATCAAAATAAAATTGTAAATTAATTGCTATACTAAAAATGTAGGATACAGAATCTCTCGAATGCAAATCAATATCTTAAAATTCTGAAATGTCCCTTCTATGATTAACGGTATGCGCAGCCAAAGTATCGAGGTATCGAGCTTCTAGGATGTGCCGCGTGAACTATTCCGTGAATAACAAATATGTTGTCCAGTGCGTTCATTGTCCGTTATTTCCGGTTCTCTTGATTTTTTGAGTTATTTGTCGGGCACCCACGGTTATGGTCGCTTCATCACGTTTTTATGACGGCATAATTTAGGGGCAATATAATATCGAAAAGACCTGGCCAGTGGCATTACCAGAAGGATCCCCCACCCCTCTCCCTCTCTCTCCCTCCCTCTCTCTCTCCCTCTCTCTTCTCGTTGTGGTTGTAATAAAAAACAAGGGAAAATTAAAGAGGACGAAGAACCGCGAGATGAGAGTTAAAGAGAAACGCGTGTTATTTTACAATTACCTACATTCACTTTTAAATGTGAATTGGATTTACACTACAGTTCATAAATTCGGCGACGCTTGCAATTTTCTTGTATTGCGAAAAGTTAAATATCTCAGTGAACGATATCGTAGAGGAGTTTTCAAAAATATATTTTAAAAAGAACAGATAGAGCTATAAATTTGTTGTTTAATTTCTACGATATTTTATTCCTCTAAATTATATAAAATTGAAAATTAATATTTTTCCGATATTTTTGTTTTACTCTGTAGCGCTGTAGCATGTTGAAACATCATCAAACAAAAATTAATAAGAAAGTATTTTAAAGTGAACTTTCTAAGCTTTAACAAATTTAAGTTTTTCTTTTAAATTGGTAATAATTTTTCGCAATAATACCGAATTTCTTGTGTAAAAACTTATTTTTACACAAAATGATGTTTAACTTCAAAATTAAAGTTTACTGAAAAAAGAAAGAGAGAGAGAGAGAGAGAGAGAGAGAGAGAGAGAGAGAAAAGGAAATTTTTAATATAATATTCTCGATTTGCATTTTTTAATAATATTCTCGATTTATATGTTTTTTCCAAAATTTTTGAAATACTTTTCTAGTTTTAACTTTTAAGAAATTGTGAGAAAATCGTAAATGTTCCCGAATTCATAAACGGTAGTGCACTTTCTGCGACTTTTCGCAATACATAATCACATTAAATGGAAATAATAATATACTTGCGATATTATTTTAATAATATAATGTATGAAATTGGTTGTACCAATTTCACACATTATATTACTAAAATAATATCGAAATTCCCGGTCTATATTGAAAGGGTGATAAGCTCGCGATAACTGTGTGAGGGTGGAAACGTTGAGAAATGGGTTGTCGCAGTAAAGATGCAAAATTCCGTGGAGCTTGAAAAGCAGTGATATCGCGTTATTACGTCAGCTTAGAAAGCAGGTTGGCGATGCAGAAAATTGTAGAGGACGATCGTACGGTACGGGTTGACGGCGGCATCACGCGTCGCGTCGTTCAACGCCTTCCGCTATTATCCATGTAATCGTGGATAATTTGTTCCGTAGAAACCGCAGCGAATGCACGGCACATGTCGGACCTGTAGCCGGTAATCTGGTTAACATCCATGTTAGGATTAAACCATTAGCCTCGGTGTCGGTCGACGGATCGAAAGGGAATGGTGAGGAGCGACACGGGAGAGGAGAAGATCCGCAAGGCGGACAAGGAGAAGGCAAAACCTCGTGTCGGACGTGTGGCCTCGTTCAATTATTCTCTCTTTGTTACGTCACTTCCGTGGTAACCGGGTTCTTTTCCCGACTCATCCGGAAGACCACGTTTCTTCTTTTTTCGCTTTTGTAATCCGAGAGTAATCCATTAAAACCATTTAATGTGGTTAAGTAGTAAGCACCGACACGGAAAAAGCGATGCACCGGTCGCGCGAGATGTCTATTTTAATCAGCGAAAATTATGCAAGATTTATTTTTACTTAGGTATGTATATTTATGTCTGGCACTAAAACCACCGTTTAAAGCGTCAAACGTATTTTTGATAATTGGAGATAAAATAAATAAAGACGGTTATCGCGGAATTTGACATCTTTTTTTTCTAGTTCGTAATTCTTCAGGCGTGGCGTTTTGACAAAATATGCGAGAATTTATTATGGAACTCGTATGTGTGTTTTAAATCTGTCTCTAATTAATTCAAGCTTATGGATAAATTCATTATTTTACGCGCATTACTCACGCGTAGACAAACCGCGGCAGGTTGGGGCATCGCAGACGATATGAATTCTGCAAAGCACCCGCGGGAGCTCTCTCGCGTTTTGAGAGAGAGAGAGAGAGAGAGAGAGAGAGAGAGAAAATATCCTTTCAAATTGCCTGTGCTCCACGCATTTCCATTAATAAACAAAATGCACGGTGGAAGGGAGGAAAAGCAGCAGCGCAGCTTCAGCGAAAAGGGAAAAGAGAGGAGGTGAAGGGGAGAGGATGGAGGAGGAACAGGAGGTGAGGGATTGTGGGGCGATGCTCCGTCAGACGATTGAGTATGCATGGTACACAAACAAAGCAAAAGCTTTGGATACTCTAGGGGAGATGCACACAAATGTGCTTCGCGGTGCTGGGTCTGCATGTGCGCGGGTGTATTGCCGATACCGGGCACGTATAAGTGTACTTAACCGTGGCGCTTTTATTTCCTCTCTTTATTTCCCGCGGTTTTCAATTTACGTTATTTATTGCCCTCCACGACCGTCCCAGTCGTCCCGCCGCGTCGGCGTCCCACCGTGATTTTGTGAAAGTATCCCAAACCCTCTGCCTCCGTCAACATATTCGCACATCCGCTCACGCGCATATTCATATATGTATGTATATCAAACGCGCGTGCTTTCTAGAACTAACACTATCAAGAGTGTGCCCCCGTATATGCGATATCCTTTTTCACCTGTGATATGGTGAGCCTGTACGATGGTCAACGTCATGAAGCCTTTTAAAAACGCTTCGCGCACGTCATAAAAATTTAACTACGCCAGTCGCGCATGAAGAAGCGAACGCATTTTACGCGTTGTACTTTTGAGGAAAAGTCGATCAAGGCAAGAAGGAATTTAATATTAATTATAACAGAGATAAAAGGTAAATAAATTAATCAATAAAAAAATGTAAGAGGAAAATTAAATGTATAAAAAAAGATTGAATAAAAGAAAAATTTATTCTGTTCTGAAATCTGATAGATTTTCAATCATTCATCACGGCATTTAATCGGTATAATATAAAACGATATAAAAACAGATTTTTCAGATGAAAAAGGTTTAATATCTAATAATTTTCCATTTATTGATCTATATAAAATTTACTATGCATACATTAAAAGTATGCATAGCGCAGTTCCAAAAACCGAGTATAAGCGCATCATCCTTTGTATTTTTTACATCGGTCAATTCAAGTCGGTGTTAATCACGGAATACTCAATTATGCGTTGTCAGATCTCATTTGAATGCAATTAATAAAATTTAGGATGTATCTCTACGGTTAAATATTGGTAAAGACGAAAACTGTAAATTTATAATAAGGCATTCATTCTTTTTGGATCGTACCGGTTTTTTAAACTAATAAATTTATTTACTGTAATTCATTAGTGTCGGAAACATTTTTGACATTCTAAATTTCTCATTGCTTTATATTATACGTTTATTAGATACCTTTTTTAGATATTGAAAGTCTTGCGAATAAATACATGCATCTCTTGATGCGCAAAGGCGCTACTGTATAATTGAAACCAAGCGCATAGTAGAAAGAAATATAAATGCATATTCATGCAACGTGTTGCATATACCTCGAGTTGGAAGTGTGAGAGCAAACGACACCATGAGAACCATTACGTAAAGGACGTTGTAGGAAATTCTACTCATCTCGAGCGTCTCTTGGCACATATACAACTCAGCTCAATGCAACGAGTTTAGGTACAAACGACCCGAGACATACATATATATGTCCGCTCCTAGAAGGGTTGACATAGAAGTAGATACAAAAGTCGCGTGAGAGGTAAAGAAAGAGAGAAAAAGATAGAGAAAGAAAGAGAAGACAAAACGAAATGAGATAACAGAAGAGACCTCGAAATCCTACATCCACGGTGTTGGCTTGTGACCCTTCAACGGGATTTAGAGTAGTTATAGCTTTGTTTATTATTGTTAGGCGAGTTGCGTATTGTGTATAGGAGCTCTCAAACCAATGCGAATTAATCTTTGCTAAGTGGAGCCAATGTGGAACTGGCATTCCCATTTCTCTTCTCTTGCGCCATTCTGCGAGATCCGCGGATGAAAGGTAGCTTCAGAAGAGCTTGTGCGCCTTCGCTCTCTCGCCTTCTGCTCCCTTTCGCCT